ACTGGTTTGTGCTTCTATCCTCCTTTCCTCAGTTACCTTGTCACGGTGATGTTGCCTGACAATACCTCTAATTTGTAGTAGAGTCTTGGATATGAAGTATTCAATATGGTCTCCTTCAGCACCTTCAGCAGCCAGCACATCTGCTCGTTCATTCCCACATATTCCAACATGGGAGGGGATCCACAGAAACTTGATGACTCTTCCCTGATTGGTAAGTACTCTTACAGCTCTCTTGATTTCAGCGACTATTGCAAGATTTTCTGCCCGATTTTTACTTAGGCTTTACAGTGCTGCTTTTGAATCAGTGCAGATCACTGCACCATTAGTGTTCCGTTCAAGAAACCTTAACGCCATAACAATGGCAGTTAGTTCTGCTTGCGTTGAAGAGGCATAGTTCTCAATACGTGCTTTTTCTTCATTTCTGCGTTGGAAAGTATTATCCTTGATTACCGTGTATGCTGCACCAGCCCTGCCATTGACAGGATTAGATGACCCGTCAGTGTAGATTTGATCTAGTTCATCTCCGGCTTCTTTATAAATTTCCTCGAGATACTTGTGCCTCATTTCTTGTGGTATCATGTTGGATTTTTTCATTGCCATTTCATTGATGATGATCTTGCACGAGTCATCCTCCCAGGGAGGTAACCTCTCTACAGGCAGGAGCTCACGGGCTTGCTCAAGCAGGTGAAGCTCTTCGAGGTAGCAGACTGATCTGTGATGCCATTTTTTGCTTCTCCTGTTTCCCCCTGAAAGTAGCACAGAGCTCAGTTTTTTCTTAGCAATATCATTGTAATGGGGATCTCTGGCTATCCTTGTTTCCAAATCAGTATTTACCCAGGTCTTTCCTGAAAGTAAGCTTATCCAACTTAAAGTTATTGCTTTGTGTTCTACTTTGTGTTGGTATATTTAACGTCATTAATAACGCAAGGTCCCTGCGTGTGGGTACTATAGTGTTGGCAGGTCCCTGCGTGTGGGTACTATAGTGTTGGCAGGTCCCTGCGTGTGGGTACTATAGTGTTGGTAGGTCCCTGCGTGTGGGTACTATAGTGTTGGCAGGTCCCTGCGTGTGGGTACTATAGTGTTGGCAGGTCCCTGCGTGTGGGTACTATAGTGTTGGTAGGTCCCTGCGTGTGGGTACTATAGTGTTGGTAGGTCCCTGCGTGTGGGTACTATAGTGTTGGCAGGTCCCTGCGTGTGGGTACTATAGTGTTGGTAGGTCCCTGCGTGTGGGTACTATAGTGTTGGCAGGTCCCTGCGTGTGGGTACTATAGTGTTGGCAGGTCCCTGCGTGTGGGTACTATAGTGTTGGTAGGTCCCTGCGTGTGGGTACTATAGTGTTGGCAGGTCCCTGCGTGTGGGTACTATAGTGTTGGTAGGTCCCTGCGTGTGGGTACTATAGTGTTGGTAGGTCCCAGCGTGTGGGTACTATAGTGTTGGCAGGTCCCTGCGTGTGGGTACTATAGTGTTGGCAGGTCCCTGCGTGTGGGTACTATAGTGTTGGTAGGTCCCAGCGTGTGGGTACTATAGTGTTGGTAGGTCCCTGCGTGTGGGTACTATAGTGTTGGTAGGTCCCTGCGTGTGGGTACTATAGTGTTGGTAGGTACCAGCGTGTGGGTACTATAGTGTTGGTAGGTCCCTGCGTGTGGGTACTATAGTGTTGGTAGGTCCCTGCGTGTGGGTACTATAGTGTTGGTAGGTCCCAGCGTGTGGGTACTATAGTGTTGGTAGGTCCCTGCGTGTGGGTACTATAGTGTTGGTAGGTCCCTGCGTGTGGGTACTATAGTGTTGGTAGGTCCCAGCGTGTGGGTACTATAGTGTTGGTAGGTCCCTGCGTGTGGGTACTATAGTGTTGGTAGGTCCCTGCGTGTGGGTTCTATAGTGTTGGTAGGTCCCAGCGTGTGGGTACTATAGTGTTGGTAGGTCCCTGCATGTGGGTACTATAGTGTTGGTAGGTCCCAGCGTGTGGGTACTATAGTGTTGGTAGGTCCCTGTGTGTGGGTACTATAGTGTTGGTAGGTCCCTGCGTGTGGGTACTATAGTGTTGGTAGGTCCCTGCATGTGGGTACTATAGTGTTGGTAGGTCCCAGCGTGTGGGTACTATAGTGTTGGTAGGTCCCTGCGTGTGGGTACTATAGTGTTGGTAGGTCCCTGCGTGTGGGTACTATAGTGTTGGTAGGTCCCTGCGTGTGGGTACTATAGTGTTGGTAGGTCCCAGCGTGTGGGTACTATAGTGTTGGTAGGTCCCTGCGTGTGGGTACTATAGTGTTGGTAGGTCCCTGCGTGTGGGTACTATAGTGTTGGTAGGTCCCAGCGTGTGGGTACTATAGTGTTGGTAGGTCCCAGCGTGTGGGTACTATAGTGTTGGTAGGTCCCTGCGTGTGGGTACTATAGTGTTGGTAGGTCCCAGCGTGTGGGTACTATAGTGTTGGTAGGTCCCTGCGTGTGGGTACTATAGTGTTGGTAGGTCCCAGCGTGTGGGTACTATAGTGTTGGTAGGTCCCTGCGTGTGGGTACTATAGTGTTGGTAGGTCCCAGCGTGTGGGTACTATAGTGTTGGTAGGTCCCAGCGTGTGGGTACTATAGTGTTGGTAGGTCCCTGCGTGTGGGTACTATAGTGTTGGTAGGTCCCAGCGTGTGGGTACTATAGTGTTGGTAGGTCCCTGCGTGTGGGTACTATAGTGTTGGTAGGTCCCAGCGTGTGGGTACTATAGTGTTGGTAGGTCCCTGCGTGTGGGTACTATAGTGTTGGTAGGTCCCAGCGTGTGGGTACTATAGTGTTGGTAGGTCCCAGCGTGTGGGTACTATAGTGTTGGTAGGTCCCTGCGTGTGGGTACTATAGTGTTGGTAGGTCCCTGCATGTGGGTACTATAGTGTTGGTAGGTCCCAGCGTGTGGGTACTATAGTGTTGGTAGGTCCCTGCGTGTGGGTACTATAGTGTTGGTAGGTCCCTGCGTGTGGGTACTATAGTGTTGGTAGGTCCCAGCGTGTGGGTACTATAGTGTTGGTAGGTCCCTGCGTGTGGGTACTATAGTGTTGGTAGGTCCCTGCGTGTGGGTACTATAGTGTTGGTAGGTCCCTGCGTGTGGGTACTATAGTGTTGGTAGGTCCCAGCATGTGGGTACTATAGTGTTGGTAGGTCCCTGCGTGTGGGTACTATAGTGTTGGTAGGTCCCTGCGTGTGGGTACTATAGTGTTGGTAGGTCCCAGCGTGTGGGTACTATAGTGTTGGTAGGTCCCTGCGTGTGGGTACTATAGTGTTGGTAGGTCCCTGCGTGTGGGTACTATAGTGTTGGTTGGTCCCAGCGTGTGGGTACTATAGTGTTGGTAGGTCCCAGCGTGTGGGTACTATAGTGTTGGTAGGTCCCTGCGTGTGGGTACTATAATGTTGGTAGGTCCCTGCATGTGGGTACTATAGTGTTGGTAGGTCCCTGCGTGTGGGTACTATAGTGTTAGTAGGTCCCTGCGTGTGGGTACTATAGTGTTGGTAGGTCCCTGCGTGTGGGTACTATAATGTTGGTAGGTCCCTGCATGTGGGTACTATAGTGTTGGTAGGTCCCTGCGTGTGGGTACTATAGTGTTAGTAGGTCCCTGCGTGTGGGTACTATAATGTTGGTAGGTCCCAGCGTGTGGGTACTATAATGTTGGTAGGTCCCTGCATGTGGGTACTATAATGTTGGTAGGTCCCTGCGTGTGGGTACTATAGTGTTGGTAGGTCCCAGCATGTGGGTACTATAGTGTTGGTAGGTCCCTGCGTGTGGGTACTATAGTGTTGGTAGGTCCCTGCGTGTGGGTACTATAGTGTTGGTAGGTCCCTGCGTGTGGGTACTATAGTGTTGGTAGGTCCCTGCGTGTGGGTACTATAGTGTTGGTAGGTCCCTGCGTGTGGGTACTATAGTGTTGGTAGGTCCCTGCATGTGGGTACTATAGTGTTGGCAGGTCCCTGCATGTGGGTACTATAGTGTTGGTAGGTCCCTGCGTGTGGGTACTATAGTGTTGGTAGGTCCCTGCATGTGGGTACTATAGTGTTGGCAGGTCCCTGCGTGTGGGTACTATAGTGTTGGTAGGTCCCTGCATGTGGGTACTATAGTGTTGGTAGGTCCCTGCGTGTGGGTACTATAGTGTTGGCAGGTCCCTGCATGTGGGTACTATAGTGTTGGTAGGTCCCTGCGTGTGGGTACTATAGTGTTGGCAGGTCCCTGCATGTGGGTACTATAGTGTTGGTAGGTCCCTGCGTGTGGGTACTATAGTGTTGGTAGGTCCCTGCATGTGGGTACTATAGTGTTGGCAGGTCCCTGCGTGTGGGTACTATAGTGTTGGTAGGTCCCTGCATGTGGGTACTATAGTGTTGGTAGGTCCCTGCGTGTGGGTACTATAGTGTTGGTAGGTCCCTGCGTGTGGGTACTATAGTGTTGGTAGGTCCCTGCATGTGGGTACTATAGTGTTGGCAGGTCCCTGCGTGTGGGTACTATAGTGTTGGTAGGTCCCTGCGTGTGGGTACTATAGTGTTGGTAGGTCCCAGCGTGTGGGTACTATAGTGTTGGTAGGTCCCTGCATGTGGGTACTATAGTGTTGGTAGGTCCCTGCATGTGGGTACTATAGTGTTGGCAGGTCCCTGCGTGTGGGTACTATAGTGTTGGTAGGTCCCTGCGTGTGGGTACTATAGTGTTGGTAGGTCCCTGCGTGTGGGTACTATAGTGTTGGCAGGTCCCTGCGTGTGGGTACTATAGTGTTGGTAGGTCCCAGCGTGTGGGTACTATAGTGTTGGTAGGTCCCTCCGTGTGGGTACTATAGTGTTGGTAGGTCCCAGCGTGTGGGTACTATAGTGTTGGTAGGTCCCTGCGTGTGGGTACTATAGTGTTGGTAGGTCCCTGCATGTGGGTACTATAGTGTTGGTAGGTCCCTCCGTGTGGGTACTATAGTGTTGGTAGGTCCCAGCGTGTGGGTACTATAGTGTTGGTAGGTCCCAGCATGTGGGTACTAATGTGGGTGTTGACCAACAGGAGGAGAGGGTGAACGTGCGGGTGCCCAGGTTCAGGGTGGACGTGGTACCCCCGCTGCAAGATGCCCTCGTGTCCCTGGGGCTGACGGCACTCTTCCCTCCCCCTCTCGACGACCATCCTACGCTCCTCCTGCACGACATCCTACACAGGTGAACACAACCTAATCCCTTCCCAGTTGCTCTCACTCGCGCATGCTCAGTGGTGCTTTATTCTTAGCCATCATCAGTCATCACGCTCATTTCCCGCTCCTTAATCCTGCAACCGTTTAAGGTCAGTAAACACAAAATGTTAAAAGGTTGTGCTATAAATTTGACTAAAACGTCACTTTTTAGCTGAGAAACGTTACCTGAGTGGATGCTAGCTCCAGTCATGAGCCTCAGAAACACTTCTATCAAATTATTGTTTATTTTACAGTGTAATGATAATTCCAGCAATCCAGATACCTCAGTCTCACTTCCAATCAATCGTAGCATCTTCCAGACTCTCCGGTATCTCTTCGGGGCTATCGCAGCGCCTGCAAATGCTCTGGTGTCTCTTTGGGACTATCGCAGCACCTGCCAGATGCTCCGGTATCTCTTCGAGACTATCGCAGCACCTGCCAGATGCTCTGGTATCTCTTTGGGACTATCGCAGCACCTGCCAGATGTTCCGGTATCTCTTCGGGACTATCGCAGCACCTGCCAGATGCTCTGGTATCTCTGGGACTATCGCAGCACCTGCCAGATGCTCTGGTATCTCTTTGGGACTATCGCAGCACCTGCCAGATGCTCTGGTATCTCTTCGGGACTATCGCAGCACCTGCCAGATGTTCCGGTATCTCTTCGAGACTATCGCAGCACCTGCCAGATGTTCCGGTATCTCTTCGGGACTATCGCAGCACCTGCCAGATGTTCTGGTATCTCTTCGAGACTATCGCAGCACCTGCCAGATGTTCCGGTATCTCTTCGGGACTATCGCAGCACCTGCCAGATGTTCCGGTATCTCTTCGGGACTATCGCAGCACCTGCCAGATGTTCCGGTATCTCTTCGAGACTATCGCAGCACCTGCCAGATGTTCCGGTATCTCTTCGGGACTATCGCAGCACCTGCCAGATGTTCCGGTATCTCTTCGAGACTATCGCAGCACCTGCCAGATGCTCCGGTATCTCTTTGGGACTATCGCAGCACCTGCCACACCCTCCGGTGTATTACAACTTGTAATACACTGTAAGGTGTAATACAGGGCCATGTATTACAACTTTCTAACCCTTGTATGACCCTGGCAGTGTATCACAACTTACTAACCATTGTGTGACCAGGGCGGTGTGCGAGGTGGTGGAGCGAGGAGAGGACTGGACGGCGCCTTCGGCCTCCGGAGGGCACCAGGTCGGCACCTTCGGCGACAAGTACTTCGAGGTGGACCATCCGTTCATCTTCTTCGTGTGGGACTACATCGGGAGCGCTGTGGTCCTCATGGGACGTGTGGTCACCCCGGTGCCTATCTTCCTGCCCATGGATAACTGACTCATGGGACGTGTGGTCACCCCGGTGCCTATCCTCCTGCCCATGGATAACTGACTCATGGGACGCGTGGTCACCCAGGTGCCTATCCTCCTGCCCATGGATAACTGACTCATGGGACGCGTGGTCACCCAGGTGCCTATCCTCCTGCCCATGGATAACTGACTTATGGGACGCGTGGTCACCCAGGAGCCTATCCTCCTGCCCATGGATAACTGACTCATGGGACGCGTGGTCACCCAGGTGCCTATCCTCCTGCCCATGGATAACTGACTCACGGGATGCGTGGTCACCCCGGTGCCTATCCTCCTGCCCATGGATAACTGACTCACGGGATGCGTGGTCACCCAGGAGCCTATCCTCCACGGCAACACAATACAGTACTAGTAACGACAACACACATGTGTGTGTTGTCGTCTCAAGAAACAATTGCCAACCTTCATCACCTATGATACACATAGTGACTGTCAAGTCTGTACACGTCACTAGTACATCTACCCTGAGGTAGACACGCCACTAGTAGGTCTAGCCAGAGGTAGACACGTCATTAGTACGTCTAGCCAGAGGTAGACACGTCACTTGTACGTCTAGCCAGAGGTAGACACGTCATTAGTACGTCTAGCAGAAGTAGACACGCCACTAGTACGTCTAGCCAGAGGTAGACACGTCATTAGTACGTCTAGCCAGAGGTAAACACGTCATTAGTACGTCTAGCAGAAGTAGACACGTCACTAGTACGTCTAGCCAGAGGTAGACACGTCATTAGTACGTCTAGCCAGAGGTAAACACGTCATTAGTACGTCTAGCCACAGGTAGACACTTCACTAGAACATCTACCCAGAGGTAGACACGTCACTAGAACATCTACCCAGAGGTAGACACGTCACTAGTACGTCTACCCAGAGGTAGACACACACTGGTCAAGGTCATACAACAACACAGATGCTATACAAACTACAATCGTTGTTGTTGTTTTATATTTAGCAACTTGGAACAAAAGCTTCAAGTAGCACGGGCTATGGTGAGCCTGACAGCTGAGTGGACAGCACTCGGAATTCGTAGTCCTGAGGTTGCGGGTTCGATCCCCCGGTAGAGGCGGAAACAATTGGACAGAGTTTCTTTCACCCTGATGCCTAGCAGTAAATAGGTACCAGGAAGTTAGACAGCTGCTACGGGCTGCTTATTGGTGATGTGTAACAAAAAGGAGTAGCGTGGTCGAGGACCGGGCCGCGGGGACGCTAAGCCCCGAATCATTTCGTTAAGATAGTGTGCATTGAACTTACCTGGCACAGGAGCGGAGCTATAACAAAGCTACAAATATTAGAGTTCTTAATGATGCTCTGTGTTGATGTCAGATATTATTGGGTGATGTATTTATATAAATATATTTATATGTATATGTATTTAAACATGTTTTTCTGTACATCAAACACATTTTAACTTTTAATTTTTTAGTTATACAAAATTTAGATATATAAGAAAAATCTGAGTCATATGTATAAGGATTCAGGCACTTGTCATATATAAATGTTAGTGTTCACATATTTTGTTTGTTCAGTACGTATATCCCAGAGAGACTAAGACAGATTAAATGTATATTCCAAAAGTTCTTCGATTATATCGTATATTCCAATTTTATTTGAAGAGTTTCCAGGGTTTGACCAAGACAAAATTCGAGCCGTATTGTACAATATATAATTTTGTGATCATTGTTGTGTACTTGGCGGGAGAGTCACATATGTACAGCTGCTGAAGACTCCTGTGTACCACACATACACAGTGTGCACATATGTAACTCTTAATATTCCAGGCATACTTATAATATATCAACATTTTTAAAGCATACTTAATGTTCGTATATGTATACTCCAGCCATAGTTATGTCTGCTCATAAATAACATAGTCTCCCCATGTAGTTAACATACACTCAAATGGTCTGCAATACAAGAGTTTCACCCAAACTCTAACACTTGTGTTCTGACGTGAGGTTAAGGAGCGGCTGAGGCCCTCACCTGAGGCCCTCACCTGAGGCCCTCACCTGAGGCCCTCACCTCCGAGCCCTGGTGTTGTCTGGGCAATAAAGTACATTATAAAATGTTAAGTGTATTTCTGTTTACGCCTCTTCCGTTCCCGCCTAAAATAGTGGGAAAAGAGAAGTAGAGATGTGTTTACGACGTACAAGATACTTTGACATGGGCCAAGTGGTCCTGTAGAGTGTAGGACGGGCAGAGTTTTTTCTAGTTCAGTTCATTTATTATGCCCCCCATACCCATGTTGTGGGCGATAGTGGAAAGGGTTACAGAGGCACATAATGGGCTCAGGGACTGAACCCCACAATTCATTTAGCTAAGCAACTTACAATCTTGATGAGCTAGTTACAAAATTCAATATAAGTCGTCACGTCAGCAATGGGTTCGAGATCGACCACAAGTACAGTTTCTAAATTAAGTAACTGACATATGTGGAGAGCTATAACATCAACAATAAATATGGTGGCAGGTTCCTTGGTGTATACAGAGACAAGAGACTCATCTTCACCACCACATACACCACACACCAGTAAATATGGTGGCAGGTTCCTTGGTGTATACAGAGACAAGAGACTCATCTTCACCACCACATACACCACACACCAGTAAATATGGTGGCAGGTTCCTTGGTGTATACAGAGACAAGAGACTCATCTTCACCACCACATACACCACACACCAGTAAATATGGTGGCAGGTTCCTTGGTGTATACAGAGACAAGAGACTCATCTTCACCACCACATACACCACACACCAGTAAATATGGTGGCAGGTTCCTTGGTGTATACAGAGACAAGAGACTCATCTTCACCACCACATACACCACACAGCCACAAAAGTCTCAAACACGGTTGGTATACTTCCTAAAGTCAGATATAATGTTCCCCACTCTGCTATCCTCCCATTATACTACCCACTAATCTATCGCTATCTTACATACGGTATCTGTGCATGGGGTTCAACACTGCACATTACCTCAAGTCTATCATCACTCAGCAAAAGTCTACTATCAGAACCATAACAAACTCTGTCTTGAGACAACACACAGCCCCTGTGTTTAAGTCCCTTAACATGCTAAACACACACTCACTCCACACATTCTCATGTGCTATCTACATGAACACAACCTTGTTCCTAAATGATAATCTTGAGCTGAAACTTTTCCTTGATAGATGTAATAGAACCCATCAGCACCACACCAGAAATATCTGGTGGGATATCTTTGATATCCCACCAGACTCTGGGGATATCTTTGATATCCCTTTAGAGTCAGACTAAATCTGTACAAACACTCCAGCAAATAAAGGGACCCAGACTATGGAACTCACTCCCTAACGAATTGAAAAGTTGTCCAACTTTTGCCTTATTCAAAAACAACACCAAAAAGTCCCTAATATCATGGTCATAGTGTCCTGCCTTGTGCTTCAAGCCCCACACTGTATCTAGTGCTGCCCACTCCCCCAATATATGTGCCTGTCCTGCCTTGTGCTTCAAGCCCCACACTGTATCTAGTGCTGCCCACTCCCCCAATATATGTACCTGTCCTACCTTGTGCTTCAAGCCCCACACTGTATCTAGTGCTGCCCACTCCCCCAATATATGTGCCTAAGCCATACAACTTCACCATTGTTATCACTGCTGATTACAATGTTTTGTGTGTTCAGTTTGCTATCATCTTATATCATAGTTGTTATATTGAACGCATATTTTATTGCATTAAACCCTGAAATAATCCTCAAATTATGCTACAATGTACATATCTATAACCCTCATATTTAATTTAATATACCTGCTAATCTTTGTTAAATTTTCTTACAATATATCTGTTAACATTTTTTCAATCCTGCTACAAATTACCAACTTAAAATGGTCTGCCCGAAACGCTTTGGGTGTTAGTGTCTTAATTAATAAGAACGTAAAAACATCAATGCTATGCACTTTCATAACCTCTTTGTACCGTCTTGTATATAAATAAATAAATAAATAAAATATTAAAATATAAATAGTAAATAATAAAATATAAATAAATAAATAAAATAATAATAAAATATAAATATTATAATATATAATAAAATATATAATAAAATAAAAATAATAAAATATAAATAAATAAATAATAATAATTAAATAAATAAGCACGCCTCACAGCTGTGCAGGCTCCCCACGCAGGGGACTTCCTTCTGGCAGTCCCTATGTCTGCGACAGGCACACGTCTTGATCCGCAGGAGCTCCGTATTGCAGTCGCTCTCCGTCTTGCTGCCCCTATCCACACTGTTCACAGGTGTATTTGCGGCGAGGCAGATGCTGACGAATATGGATTGCATGGCCTGCACTGTGGAAAATCTGGTGGTTGGCACACTAGACACGACGAAGTCAATGACATCATTTAAATAAGCCTTGCCTCTGCTCAGTGTCCAGCAGAGAGGGAGCCCCGCATCCTACTGAACCGTGACTCTGTTAGCTTTGCCGGCCGACCAGACGGAATCACACTGCGACCGTGGAAGGGTGGCAGACAGTTGGCGTGGGACTATACTTGTGTATCCACCCTGGCAACCACATACATCAACCTCTCTGTCGGCCAAGCAGGAGCCGCGGCGACACACAGAGAAAGAGACAAGTCAGCCAAGTACAGGCAATTAGATCATCGGTACAACTTCGTTCCAATAGGGTCTGAGACCCTAGGCCCATGGGGAGAGAGTGCAAGAAGGTTTCTTAAGGATCTTGGTCCCAAGCTCATTGACACCACAAGAGACCCTAGAGCAGCAAGTTTTCTCTTTCAGCGCCTCAGTGTCGCGATCCAGAGGGGGAATGCTCGCTGCATCCTCGGTTCCTGCCCGGCGTCGGAGGAGTTCGAGGAAATCTACAGCCTCTAGGAAGTGAACTTTATTTTGTGTCCTCTTAATGTTAATTTTTTGTATAAAATCAGATATGTAACTGTATAACCTTGCATAATAAAGTGTACACCATAAAAAAGGGGGGTGGTAGGAGAAGCGAACACTCTTACGTATTCAGTGTTAAATGGCAAGTTTTTCCCTGAATGCTCTGTGTTCCCTTCTCTGAGGCTGTGGGTCCCTATAACTGCACCAGAAGTGGTACCCCCCTATATAAATAAATAAATAAATAAATAAATAAATAAATAAATAAATAAATAAATAAATAAATAAATAAATAAATAAAATCTAATCCTGTCTAATAACGATGGTCAGCTTTCAGCCTCTGATTCTGCTATTGAGTTCAATAGGTTCTTCTCTTCCATTGGGTCATCCCTTGCAAATGATATTCCATCTTCCTGTACTGATGTTAAGGACTATCTTACAGGTAACTATCCACAGTCTCTGTACCTAAAGCCTATTAATTCCGCTGACGTCAATGAGATAATCCTTTCCCTTAAAACCAAGTCTGGTGCCCTTGAGGAGATACCAACTTTAATTTACAAAAAAGCCTCCAGATCTTTAGCCCCTGCTATTGCTTTGCTCTTCAACAAGTCACTTGAACTCCAAACCTTCCCAGATATTCTAAAAAAAGCGAGAGTAACGCCTGTCCACAAATGTGGTGAGCTCACAGATGTTAACAACTACAGACCTATATCAATCCTGCCAAACTTGTCAAAAATTTTTGAAAAACTAATCTATAAGCAGCTTTACTCATATCTATAATAATAATAATAATAATAATAATTTTTATTTAGGCAAAGGTACATACATAAAGAGATTTTACAAAGTTTGTTGGCTTTATAGATAGAGCTAGTACATACAATGCCTAAAGCCACTATTACGCAAAGCGTTTCGGGCAGGAAAAAACACTACTGACTAAAGCTTAAAACTAATGGGTAAAAAGAAAAAAATGCGTTGAGTACAAATAAAAATAGAGGTAAAAGAGGGGGGGAACATTGTTGAAAAAACAGCACAAATACAATTATAAATTATTACAGAAAATTACATTAAAACAGCGTTGATTTGTAAAACAAAAAAAAAAAACAAAAAACATACATGGGTTGACAATAGAAGGGTAAGGTAGGTTACATGGAATTTATTAGGTATAGCTTCGTTTTTAACTTAAACTGGTTGAGAGAGGTACTGTCTTTAACATGGTTGGGAAGGTCATTCCACATCCTGGGCCCCTTGATTTGTAGAGCATTTCTGGTTTGATTAAGTCGTACTCTAGGAATATCAAAACTGTATTTATTTCTGGTGTGGTGCTCATGGGTTCTGTTACAACCTTCTATGAAGCTTTTGAGATCAGGATTGGCATTACAATTTAGCGTTTTGTATATGTATACAAAACGCTAAATTGTAATGCCAATCCTGATCTCAAAAGCTTCATAGAAGGTTGTAACAGAACCCATGAGCATCTAGCCAAACTCAATATACTTAGCCCTTGCCAATATGGCTTCAGACCTAAAAAAAGCACTAACGATGCACTTATTAGTATGCTTAACTCGATTCAAACAGCAATTGATAAAAATGAGTTCCCTATTGGGTTATTTGTGGACCTGCGTAAAGCTTTTGATACTGTCAACCACCAAAACCTTCTTCATAAATTACATCATTATGGAGTCAGAGGACACTCCCTACAATACCTCAAATCCTACCTTACTGACAGGCTCCAATATGTTTCTGTGAATAATACAATTTCTCCCACCCTACCCATCAACATTGGTGTTCCTCAGGGCAGCATACTTGGCCCTCTCCTCTTTCTCATCTACATTAATGACCTTCCAAATGCCTCCCAACACCTCAAACCAATTCTATTTGCTGACGACACAACCTTCATTTACTCCAGTCCTGATCCCCTTGCTCTAAATGCCACAGTAAATACTGAGCTAAATAAAGTCCATCTTTGGCTAACTGCCAACAAACTCACCCTTAACATTGACAAAACTTTCTATATTCTGTTTGGCAACAAATTCTCTAATCAAATAAATCTCAAAATAAACAATACCCAAATTTGTAACAAATTAGATGGCAAATTCCTTGGCATTCTCATTGACCACAAGCTGAATTTCCAGGGACACATTCTAAATATATCAAAAAAAGTTTCAAAAACTGTGGGCATCCTTTCTAAGATCAGATATTATGTACCTCGCCCTGCCCTGGTGACTCTCTATTACTCCCTTATCTATCCATATCTCAACTATGGTATTTGTGCTTGGGGCTCTACTACCCAAAATCACTTACGTCCTCTAATTACTCAACACAAAGCTGCTATTAGGACAATATCCAACTCTGGCCCCAGACATCACTCGGTACCCTTACTTAAATCTCTGAATATGTTAGACATTAAGTCACTGCACATTCTCTCATGTGTATTATACATATATAAAACGCTAAACTATAATGCCAATCCTGATCTTAAAAGCTTCATAGAAGGATGTAACAGAACCCATGAGCACCACACCAGAAATAAATACAGTTTTGATATTCCTAGAGTACGACTTAATCAAACTAGAAATGCTCTACAAATCAAGGGGCCCAGAATGTGGAATGACCTTCCCAACCATGTTAAAGACTGTACCTCTCTCAACCAGTTTAAGATAAAAGCGAAGCTATACCTAATAAATTCCCTGTAACCTACCTTACCCTTCTATTGTCAACCAATGTCTGTTTTTTTTAAGAGCGCTGTTTGTTGACATAATTGTATTTGTGCTGCTTTTTCATCTATGTTTTCATTTCTTGTTTTCATTCTACTCATTATGCTCAATTAGTATTAAGCTTGTCATTTAAGTTTATCATGCCCGAAACGCTTTGCGTAATAGTGGCTTTAGGCATTGTATGTACTAGCTCTACCTATAAGTCAACCAATCTTTGTAAAAATTTATTGTATGTATGTACCTTACCTAAATAAAAATTATTATTATTATTATTATTATTATAAAAGATTGCTGTATCGTTCATGACGTCACCTCCTCCCCCCCCCCCCAAGTCTGCCTCAAATAACAGCACATTCCATTAATTTTATATATATAAAATATTATCTGTCTTTTTATATGTGTAATTGAGTATACGGTATATCATAGCAAATTATTTGACTTTAAAAGTCGGTATTAATTTTCTCATAGATTCAAAAGTATTTTACGATTACTTAACGACAACAGCTGATCACACAAGGACAACAAACAGTGCCGTCTCCCAACGTTTGTCATCGGGAGGATAAACCCTTCATGCTAACTGCTCCTACCATCAACAAGAAGAAGTGCCGCTGACGGGCTCGTGTCGAAGGTCAGCCGCTGACGGGCTCGTGTCGAAGGTCAGCCGCTGACGGGCTCGTGTCGAAGGTCAGCCGCTGACGGGCTCGTGTCAAAGGTCAGCCGCTGACGGGCTCGTGTCGAAGGTCAGCCGCTGACGGTGCAGGAGGAGCCTGGGGGTATATTTAATGAAGCGTGTGGGTATTCTGGACATTTTTGTGGGGTTTACTTGGCCTGACTTTTGAGTGTTGATCAACAGCGCCGCCTCATTATCTACTTCTCCTTTCGTTTTGTTGGGTACAGGAAGCCTGTGGATATAATTCATATACAATTAATACAATGTTTATTCAAAATAATGTGTGTGTACAAAGAACATAGAAGTAATGTACAAATTGTAAGGACAGGAGTTACACAATCATGAAACCAGTATTTTACAAAGCATTTTGGGCAAAAATAATATGTATATGAATTCATATAATATAAAAATAATGTATATAATTTAGACATGTATCGTGATCCTGTCAAGGTGGAATTACTGACCCCGCCCAGATTGCAACCCCACAATCTAACCCCCCACATAAAAACCCCACATAAGTTGACTAACTTCTGGGTACCTATTTACTGCTAGGTGAACAGTAGTATTAGGTGGTAAGAAACATGCACAACCACTTCTGTCCCCACCCAGGATTCGAACCTGGGATTCCCAATTGAGAGTCGATAATGAACAGAACTGTACTACCTGTAAAACTCTTTGGCGTATTTAATTCGAGTAACTTCGAGTGTGTCTCAAAGTTACAGGGGCCATGTAAACCTAACTGAACTAGTGCAGAAAGAAAACTGAACTGTGCTGCAAAACGTTACGTGTCGACAAAACACCAACAATACCTTGTGGAAAATGCAATACAGTATTTGGCAAAATCCAGGTAATTACCCAAGTGTAATTACCTAACCTAAGTGTAGTTATAGGATGAGAGCTACGGCATGTAACTACTCCCGAGTAAGCGGGCACTATGCCTCCTGCCTCGAAGTGTACAGACCAAAAGATTAATGCTATTCAGCTTTATCTTCATATTGTCAGGCCCCATTGTGATTATGCATTTCTGCCAGATGACAGAATTATTACAGTGCTGTAATATACAGCATTATAAGTGTTAAAGCTATTATTATAGTTTATAATAACATACAGCATTATACACTGCAGAGTACAGTATATTATAGGCAGTATGCTATATATTATACAGTATATTACAGACCACAAACTATTATTGACCATATACCATGATCTTGCCTTAGAGAGCAACTAAGTACACTGTTCAGAAATGTGGCCTTCATATTCTATCATTTGACAATAGATTTTCTCCACTTGAAACCCTTTTGGCAGGTGACTTAAGATGGAGCAAAGTTGAAGATAATGCAGTGTAGGAAATGTCTCACACATTTTGTCTCACACAGTGTCACAGTGTAGGAAATGTCTCACACATTTTGGCATTGAAATAAAATGTACAGTATCTAGGAATATGTTTGTGAAATATTAGCATCAAACCTCAAGTAATTAATTAGTGCATCAAAATAAAAACTTTACTCTTTCAAATTCTATTTAAAGCAAATTCTATCTGTAAAGGCCCTGAGCTATAAGAAGCTGTAGAGGCCCTGAGCTATGGGAAGCTGTAGAGGCCCTGAGCTATGGGAAGCTGTAGAGGCCCTGAGCTATGGGAAGCTGTAGAGGCCCTGAGCTATGGGAAGCTGTAGAGGCCCTGAGCTATAAGAAGCTGTAGAGGCCCTGAGCTATGGGAAGCTGTAGAGGCTTTGAGCTATGGGAAGCTGTAGAGGCCCTGAGCTATGGGAAGCTGTAGAGTCCCTGAGCTATGGGAAGCTGTAGAGTCCCTAAGATATGGGAAGCTGTAGAGGCCCTGAGCTACAGGAAGCTGTAGAGGCCTTGAGCTATGGGAAGCTGTAGAGGCCCTGAGCTATGGGAAGCTGTAGAGTCCCTAAGATATGGGAAGCTGTAGAGGCCCTGAGCTATGGGAAGCTGTAGAGTCCCTAAGATATGGGAAGCTGTAGAGGCCCTGAGCTATGGGAAGCTGTAGAGGCTTTGAGCTATGGGAAGCTGTAGAGGCCCTGAGCTACGGGAAGCTGTAGAGGCCTTGAGCTATGGGAAGCTGTAGAGGCCCTGAGCTATAAGAAGCTGTAGAGGCTTTGAGCTATGGGAAGCTGTAGAGGCCCTGAGCTATGGGAAGCTGTAGAGGCCCTGAGCCACGGAAAGCTGTAGAGGCCCTGAGCTACGGGAAGCTGTAGAGGCCCTGAGCTATGGGAAGCTGTAGAGGCCCTGAGCTATGGGAAGCTGTAGAGGCCCTGAGCTATGGGAAGCTGTAGAGGCCCTGAGCTATGGGAAGCTGTAGAGGCCCTGAGCTATGGGAAGCTGTAGAGGCCCTGAGCTATGGGAAGCTGTAGAGGCCCTGAGCCACGGAAAGCTGTAGAGGCCCTGAGCTACGGGAAGCTGTAGAGGCCCTGAGCTATGGGAAGCTGTAGAGGCCCTGAGCTATGGGAAGCTGTAGAGGCCCTGAGCTATGGGAAGCTGTAGAGGCCCTGAGCTATGGGAAGCTGTAGAGGCCCTGAGCTATGGGAAGCTGTAGAGGCCCTGAGCTATGGGAAGCTGTAGAGGCCCTGAGCTACGGGAAGCTGTAGAGGCCCTGAGCTACGGAAAGCTGTAGAGGCCCTGAGCTACGGGAAGCTGTAGAGGCCCTGAGCTACGGGAAGCTGTAGAGGCCCTGAGCTACGGGAAGCTGTAGAGGCCCTGAGCTACGGGAAGCTGTAGAGGCCCTGAGCTACGGGAAGCTGTAGAGGCCCTGAGCTACGGGAAGCTGTAGAGGCCCTGAGCTACGGGAAGCTGTAGAGGCCCTGAGCTACGGGAAGCTGTAGAGGCCCTGAGCTACGGGAAGCTGTAGAGGCCCTGAGCTACGGGAAGCTGTAGAGGCCCTGAGCTACGGGAAGCTGTAGAGGCCCTGAGCTACGGGAAGCTGTAGAGGCCCTGAGCTACGGGAAGCTGTAGAGGCCCTGAGCTACGGGAAGCTGTAGAGGCCCTGAGCTACGGGAAGCTATTGAGGCCCTGAGCTACGGGAAGCTGTTGAGGCCCTGAGCTACGGGAAGCTGTAGAGGCCATATTTAACAATTTACAACATAGAATATGGCCGTGTAACAAGTAAACTTGGCAAGAATGATGCCAAGATGCACATAAAGTCCATGCTGGGTTTGTGGGGTGGGGGTCTATCAGGAAAAAGTGCCAAGCCATTATGAATATATAGCATTGGGAAGGGGTAAGGATAAGTATTTGGGATAGAACGAGGAGGGGGGAGGAACAGTGCCCAACCACTTTGACAGTTGGGGATTGAACGCAGACCTGCGTAAAGAGAGACCCCTCGCTCTACCGTCAAGAACAAGTGGTTGGGTGGGAAGGTTGATTCTCTTGAACTATGAAAATATGCCTTTAATTCTGTTTTATAATATATAATAATGATGAAATTTTGAGAGACTTTGAGATTGTGAGGCCATAAACTATAGATTGTTTAACTTATTCTTAATGCCGGTCCTTTGCCGACTGATGTTAATGTAAAAGATGAGCTGTAACGGTAGGACTGTGGTACAGCTGTGGTGTAATGGTAGGACTGTGGTACAGCTGTGATGTAATGGTAGGACTGTGGTACAGCTGTGATGTAATGCCAGGACTGTGTACAGCTGTGATGTAATGCCAGGACTGTGGTACAGCTGTGGTGTAATGGTAGGACTGTGTACAGCTGTGGTGTAATGCCAGGACTGTGTACAGCTGTGGTGTAATGCCAGGACTGTGGTACAGCTGTGGTGTAATGCCAGGACTGTGGTACAGCTGTGGTGTAATGCCAGGACTGTGGTACAGCTGTGGTGTAATGCCAGGACTGTGTACAGCTGTGGTGTAATGCCAGGACTGTGTACAGCTGTGGTGTAATGCCAGGACTGTGTACAGCTGTGGTGTAATGCCAGGACTGTGTACAGCTGTGGTGTAATGCCAGGACTGTGTACAGCTGTGATGTAATGCCAGGACTGTGTAAAGCTGTGGTGTAATGCCAGGACTGTGTACAGCTGTGGTGTAATGCCAGGACTGTGGTACAGCTGTGGTGTAATGCCAGGACTGTGGTACAGCTGTGATGTAATGCTAGGACTGTGTACAGCTGTGGTGTAATGCCAGGACTGTGGTACAGCTGTGATGTAATGCCAGGACTGTGGTACAGCTGTGATGTAATGCCAGGACTGTGTACAGCTGTGGTGTAATGCCAGGACTGTGTACAGCTGTGGTGTAATGCCAGGACTGTGGTACAGCTGTGATGTAATGCCAGGACTGTGGTACAGCTGTGATGTAATGCCAGGACTGTGGTACAGATGAAAATTTTCAAAATGACAGAAGTAGAATGTTGAAATGCCTCAATCATCGGGTTCACTTGCTTCTGTATACAGTATTACAAAATATACCTTACTTTTAAATTGTTAAAGTGTTGCTAATATTTAGGCTAGTACAGTACTGTATTTAAACCCAAAAGTATAAGTAGCTCAGGACAAAATGCAGAAGGGCCCTGTAGTACATTGATCTACATCCTCTGCTCTGAATCAAAGTACAGTATCCATGTTCAAAACCTGGATAGTACGGAAACAGTTAGGTACATTTCCTTTCACCTAATGATCCTGTTTACCAAGCAGCCCAGGAGTTGGGCAATTTTTGTGGGTTGCATTCAAGAGAAAGTCAGTAGTAAGCCTAGGGGGACCTCAGTAGGCCTAGGTACACAACAGGCTTCTTGTCCCCGAGAACGAGAATTAAAATTTTGATCATCAGCATGTCTGTTCTAATAGAAAATCATTGTGAAGAATAACAGTACAGAGTTGTACTCGCCTAGTTGTGCTTGTGGAGGTTGAGCTTCGGCTCTTTGGTCCTGCCTCTCGACTGTCAATTAACTGGTGTACAGGTTCCTGAGCTTATTGGGCTCTATCATATCTACATTTGAAACTGTATATGGCATCTGCCTCCACCACATCACTGCCTAATGCATTCAGGTACATTCAGGTGCATTTCAATGTTTTCTGAAGTTTATTGTGACGTACAGCAGTACATTACGTGAAAATAGAGCATTGATATATTAATTGTCTTCATCTTTATTTTACAGCATAACCATGGAACGAATCAGTCGCAGAGTGCTCACCTCTGTGCTGGGCTCTCGTGTGTCTGCTGGCTCTCTGCTGCACAGGATGCACAACTTTGCATTTTGCAAAGTCCAATCACAGGTATTTGTTCAAGTTCTTAGTATTGTATTTTTGTGGTTTCTCATTCATTATCTACAGTACTGAGCCGCCCGACCCTTGGCGGCTCTCTGTTTGGGGAGAGACATTGAAGATCCTATATGCTAGAGTTTTGTTTCTGGAGAAAAACTTCACATAACAGGCCACCGAGACCCATCCGTCACCTACCGGAAGCCTGGACCAGAATCTGGCTCGCTCTGAGGTGAGGGTTGTTTGGGAATCAATGATTAACCACAAAGCTGGAAAAAATGCACCACAAAGTATAGGGCACAACCACACTAGCAACTACTTGAAATAAATTAGGCACCCATAGGTAAACAAGGCAAATGTCTTGACATCCTGACTCTGATGCACCTGACCACCACTAGATGGCAATTCAGCTCACCATTTTCAACCAACCCATTTTCAACCTGGGATGGCAACCCAGGCCTATTGACAGAGAAAACAGTCATTAAAAAAATCAAGCATTTAATGTAATGAAGTACTTTTTTTTTTTTTAAGTATCATCATTTGCTCCTATGATATCACAGACAGCTGCCAAACTACCATGCCTCTGGACTTGTGCAGGCCTACTGAACACCAGGACCAGAGCCTGTTGTGCTCGTAATGGTGAGGGAAGAATGGGGATCGGAACTCGATCTAATAACCGAGTAAAACCAGCCTAAAGGTACTGTACAGGCAAAACAAGACAAAGTATGTATTTTGATGAGAGAACAGATGGAAACAATAGAAGCAGTAGTTTGCCTAAAGTCAACTAACCATTTGCTAATATCCAAGTGCACCACCAGATGGCAGCTCAGGTCACCCAAGGGTAACACCTGCCTACCTACCTCAATTAAATGCTGCCTCAAAGTGTTCACAATCCCCATGGGAAAGGAAGGCAAAATGAAAGGTGGGTATTGGCTGCTACTGAGGTTGCCCAGAAGAAGGTGCGTCATTACACTCATTGCTTGATTTCTGAGCTAAACCTTCAGTAGTTTTTCTGGTGAATACAGCACTCCCAATGATGTCTCGAAGGAAATATTTTTCTGGTGCATGCTCCCAACGATGACTCGGAGAGGAAACTGGTTCTGAACTTAAAAAAAAATAAATCGTAATGAAGGAACAAAGACTTATTGTGGAGTGAGAAGGTCAGAAACCGAGGGCTTGGGGAAAGATGAACTAATTAACTCGATTCAAAGACTTAATTCATAAATGGTTGTTCATTTATAATTGGGGAGGTTTACATAAAAGTGCAGTACTACAGGAACACCTCGGTTTATGAATTTAATCCGTTCCTGGAGATGGTTCGTAACCTGAAAATTCGTAAACCAAAGCAAATTTTCCCATAAGAAATGATGGGAATAAATTAATCCGTTCCTGACTCCCCAAAAAATTTACTTCAAAGTAAATTTTATACCAAATTCACCCAAATCTTCACTACAAAAGTATGTACAAGTTATTACTTACCTTTACTGTTCATCAAAACTTTGCAGTTCTTCCCATACTGCACACATTTTCTTAATTAATGAGGAAGGGACATCCTCTACTGCCTCCTCCTCCTGCCCTGAAGATTTGTTGTACTGCCTAGCTAGTGCAACAACACGAGTACCATTTTCATGTTTACGAATGATCTCTTGTTTTTCCTCTATGGTCATTCTCACATGTGTTTTTTTGCCTTGAACCTTACCACTGACTTTCTTGGGACCCATGGCGAGATATATAATAACAACTTTTATGTTCAAATAGCCAAAAATGCAAAAAGACACTGTAAATCCTTGCAAAGAATCCAGGCGGGATAGTCACTTGGTGAGAGTCACTGGGAAACTGAGGCGCAATCGCCGTGCCATCACACGCTAGGTCGGCCATATGCGTATCAACAAACTCGTATCCTAAGGTAAAGTTCGTAACACGATTCAAATTTTCCGAAGAAATCGGGCTCGTAATCCGAAAAGTTTGTAAAGAGTGGCATTCGTAAACTGAGGTACCACTGTACATTAATAATAATTAATGATAGTCATTATTAGTCAACAACCATCATTGAAAGAATTATTCCAGCGATAAGTCATCTCTCGTATCAGGAACGGTTGAGAGCCACAGGGCTAACAACACTGCAAACCATACATGACAGAACAGATCTCATTGAAACCTTTAAAATACTGAACAATTTGGTGGATTTTGATCCAGACAACTTCTTCAAAAAGGTCAGATGTAACACAAACAAGGAGCAACGGTTTCAAGCCACAATGTAGGACTGAGAACAGATGCTTTTTCACCCAGAGGGTTATTAACCCCATGGAACTGCCTACCTGCCAAAGCCCTAACTGCAAAAACTGTGTTGAATTTCAAAATATGCAGTACTGTACCTGGAAAAGATCATCAAGGGAAATGGGGGGGACTTCGACAAGCCTCCAGCTTCCTGTCCTCGTCGAGACCACTAGTGTCAGTGGCCCTCGGGTAAATTCAGGTAAATAATTACATAAGTCACAATAACATGTAGACATTATCAAAATCAGAAACTTAATTCGTAACAACTTGTACAAATCACTACAATATTGGCTGGACCAAACAGGTGTTTGGAGACGGCTCATAAGCCAAATATTCACAAACTGAAGCGAATTTTCCTATAAGAAATAATGTAAATTTAATTAATCCGTTCCAGACTCCCCAAAAAATTAACCTCAAAGTAAATTTTATACATAATTCACCCAAACCTTCAGTACTAAAGTATGTACAAGTTATTACTTACCTTTACTGATGACTCTTGTTAGTGTATGGAAAGTGATGGGGAGGGGGGAGGAGGAGAGGTGTTATTGTTTGGAAGGGAAGTCCCCTTCCATTATAACATCAGGTAGTGATGACTTCTCTGGGGTACTCTCTCTCCTATGTTTTGCCTGCATACCACTAGGACTTACTTGTGGCTCTGCTTGTTTTTCTCACTAAAAACCTGTCTAGCGACACTTGTTTTTCCCTACGTTGAAACAATTGTCTGAAGTGAGACATCACATTGTCTTTAAAAAGGTTAACACAAGGGTCTGCTACAGCTTGATTTGGGTGACACTTTTTAGCAAAACTCTGCAATTCTTCCCATACTGCACACATTTTCTTAATAAATGAGGAAGGGACATCCTCTACTCTACATCAACAACCCTCATACCATTTTCATGTTTACGAATGATTTCTTGTTTTTCTTCTATGGTCATTCTCACATATGTTTTCCCTTGAACCTTATCACTGGCTTTCTTGGGACTCATAGCGAGATATATAATAACTTTTATGTTCAAATACCCAAATATTACGAAAAAACTGTAATTCTTTACAAAGAATTCAGGCGCGATTGTCACCAGGTGGGAGGCACTGGTAAAATGAGGCACGATCGCCGTGCCACCACGCGCTAGGTCGGCCATATGTGTATCAACAAACTTTATTTCCTGAGGCAAAGCTCGTAACCCGATTTGGATATTACAAAGAAATTGGGCTCGTAACCCGAAAAGTTCGTAAATAGGGCTTTCGTAAGCCGAGGTGTCACTGTATAACAATCTAAATCAGACTTGTATTTTTAGCATAAAGTAAGTGACATTTAGCTAACAATTTGAAAGAGAGTGCACTGTAAAGACAAAGTGAGGTTTAACATTAGTGTGGTAAGACATATATTGGCACAAAATTTTCACAAAATTATGATGATTTAGTTAGCAGTAGAGGGAGGGAGGGGAATTATCAGGGGACAGTGTCAAGCCATTACCTCTATATAGCTCTCAGAAGGGATCAGGATAAGGATTTGGGATGGAACGGGGAAAAGGAACCAAAACTGATATAAACTAATCATACCATGATGTTGTATATATTTACACAACTTCAGCCTTCTACATCAACAGTTTCTGGAACTATCCTGGCTCAAAATTACTCCACACAAACACAGCTCATATAACATCGATCTGACTTCAGTTGGACTCGAAATGCCTGCCAGTAATTCATCTCTGACAGTAGTTCCTTCATGATTCCAAATATCCAGCTGTGGAATTCCTTGCTCTCCCCGCTGACGAGCTGCTTCATCCTGTCCTGTAGACCCACTCTACACCAATAAAAAATCATACATGCTTAAGTTATATTTCCTAACAATTAAGATCATATTTCTGTTCAAGTAGGAGTGGCCAGTGATAAGTGAGTGCCTTAAGAATACAAAGAAATAGAGTTGATCGAGTTTACTGCATGGGTGATTGCTTGCAGACAAGTAGATTACATTGAGTACGTAGATGGACACCCCAAGATAAGTCTAGAACATTTCCTCCATTCACAATTCAGCATTTTGTAGGTCCCATAGTTCACATCCATACAAGCTTAGACACTGACTGTTAAATAACGACTTTTGACCAGGCATCAAGAGCAAATTTGCTAATGACATTTGTTCTGACCTTCTCAAATATCATCAGAAGTGAGCAGCCCTTTGAGATGTAATATACCCCAGTTGCTTTTCAGAAGACTTTACTAGAATATCTCTACCTAGTAATTTTAGATTCGAATCTCAATAAAACGAGTCCTATGAGTTAGAATCAATCACAGTACATGTGGCAGGATTAAACGTTAGGATCTATTCTGCACTATTTCGCATATTTCTATGCAATTTTTCATAAACATTATGGTCAGTGGTAGTAAAACTAGATCATCAGTGTAATGGAAAACATTTTCCTCAATACAGCCAATGCAACAGCCAGCTCTACTGGTTCTTAACTCTTTACAGTCCCCATGGCACAGTGCTAAGACACTCGCCCCACACTTCGTGAGCGCTTTGGCCTGGGTTAGTATCCTGGCCGGGGAGGATTGACTGGGCACCAATCCTTAACTGTAGCCTCTGTTCACCCAGCAGTGAATGGGTACCTTGTTGTTAGACGATTTGGTGGGTCGTACTCCGAGGAAAATTAGAAATAAAGACTTGCCCGAAACACTATGATTCCTGGAAGGCGACTTGATAATGGCCCAATCGCAGTTGACTTGATGATGGTCCAATTGCAGTCGATTTGATAATGGTCCAATCGCAGTCGACTTGATAATGGTCCAGGACGGACCGAAACGTCGTCAACTCCTCATCTTCGGGTGTGTGGTTTAGTCTTCATATCTTCAGCCACATTATTGTGACTCGTCTGTTCTTGGAAGACTTTTGAGATAATATTATGTGGTATTCAGTGGTAGCCATACTGGCTTAGAGGGTTCTTTTGATTAATATAAACAGTATTTTACAGGTGTGGTAATATATGATAATATGTTCATTTTCTTTTTACAGAGGACCTCTATAATGCTTGCACCTTTGAGAAAAGCAGTTAATCGAAGATGTTCACATGCATTAAGTACAACATCATCATGGAAAAACCTTTGTCGTGAGTTTACTGCTGTCACTAAACTTTTGGAGAGGTAAACAAAATTAATTCATCATATGCTATAAATTAAATTTAATGATTTTTTTTGGGAGAATCCCTTGTGGTTTCCTGAAGCTACCATCACTGATAGTGTACCATCTACTAGATTGCATCAGTCTTAACATTTTATAGACTGGCTTGAGACCAGCATTTGTTTATGCCATCTCGGGAGAAGTGACTAGAAAGTTGGCAAAACAAAGCAGACCAGTGCTGGCCTGAATAGAGATCACAGCTTTGAAAACCACTGAAAGAACTTCCCCAACTATGTAAACGCTAGAAATCTCTCCAAACTAGGGCAAGCATGTTTGTCCCACCTCCCTCACTTGTTTGGGGGAGGAGGGAGGCAGCTCATGGTCAGCCAGCTACTCTGCTGTCAGTTCTATGCTGATGTGTAGTATGGACCGGGTTGCCTCTCTGCTCCTCTGACTCCAGTGTTCTGTTTTTCAGTTAAGTGGTGGGTTTTATCCTTGTGGCTGGTCCTGTACACTGGTAATTACCCAAGTGTAACTACTTAAATGTAGTTACAGGATGAGAGCTACACTTGTGGTGTCCTTTATTCCCATCACTCTGTCATATAACGCTTTGAAATTACTGACGGTTTTGGCCTCCACCACCTTCTCACCTAACTTGTTCCAATCGTCTACCACTCTGTTTGTGAAAGTAAATTTTCTTATACTTTACTGTATTTCTTCGGCAGCTTTGTTTAGTTATTTTAAATCTGTTACCTCTTGTTCTTGAAGTTCCAGGTCTCGGGAATTCTTCCCTATCAATTTTATCGATTCCTATTACTATTTTATATGTAGTGATCATATCGCCTCTTTTTCTTCTATTTTCTAGTGTTGGCATATTTTATGCCTCTAACCTCTTCTCGTAGCTCTTGTCCTTCAGTTCTGGGAGCCATTTAGGTACATGTCTTTGCACCTTTTCCAGTTTGTTGATGTGCCATTTAAGATATGGGCACCATACAACCACTGCATATTCCATGCATATTCATAATGTAGCATGATCCAGGGGTTAAGAGCACTTGGAGCTGCATGTGCACGGTGTTCTCTTCCTTCAGTGCTCGCTAGTGCTGCCAGTGTTTTCTTTTCTGGAGTGTTCAGGAATCACAACCTTTGAGGTCCTCCTTCCTTGCAGTGACCCTCGTCCAGGGTGAGTCAGGCATCTTGAGACTTTTGTGATTTTACTCGGGTTGGGTATGACATTGGCTGGCTTGGTGCATGCTGGGCACTCAGAGAGAGAGAACTCAATCAACATCAAAAGTCCGAGACTTTTCAAAAATATTTCCCTACACATATGCGGCATAACTGACCAACCTCTCGCAGTGTTCAAAAAGAAAACTCGACAAGCACCTTCAGAGGATACCTGACCAACCAGGCTGTGACTCGTACATAAGGCTTTGAGCAGCCACAACAAACAGCCTAGTGAATTAGACCAGCAACTAGGAGGCCTGGACAGAGACCGGGCTGTGGAGACATTGATCCCTGGAATCTTCAACAGGTAGGTAGGTAAGGTCTGGCATAGCATCCCAGTGCCTTGGTGTTCTGCTTGGTCAGTTCCTTCGGGCCCTGAAAATCCCTTGCATGTTCGGTGGTACATTGGACATTCCTTCCTTTTGACTCCACCATACTACCTTACCTGCTGGGTCAGTGACACCTATGACCTTCAGTCCTGTTTTATTTGTTCTCTCCATGTGATCTTACTTTCTGACCCTCCTGATGAGGCTAGGGCTTATCAAGTAATTACCTAAGTGTAGTTACAGGACGAGAGCTACGCTCGTGGTGTCCCGTCTTTCCTGCACTCTTTGTCTTATAACGCTTTGAAGCTACTGACGGTTTTGGTCTCCACCACCTTCTCACCTAACTTGTTCCAACCGTCTACCACTCTGTTTACAAAAGAGAATTTTCTTATATTTCTCCGGCAGCTTTGTTTTGTTAGTTTAAATCTATGACCTCTTGTTCTTGAAGGTAGTGGCTGCCTTGTATGTTAGACTTTTTAGATTGCAGTGGTCTAGGTTGTGTGTCAGTTTGGTGGCCCCGGAGTTGTTCTGTTTGGGATTTAGGGACCTGGAATGGGAGGTGTTGGTAAATTCTACCTTGGTTCCGTCCGAATATCCTCTTCCTTGCCCCTTCCGGTGTGGTTCGCCCTTCCTCTGATCCTCCTCCCAAGCTTCTGGCCCCAAAGTGTCTTGAGGGGGGTTTTGTGATTGGGGCTGAGTTTAGATTGGGATGTAGCTCTGTTTGGGTTTGTCCTACCCTATCAGGCGCCGATGCAGTAGAGTCCCATCCTGCTGAGGCTTCTGGGTCTTCCTTTCAGCCAGCCCCTTCTTTCTTTGAAGCCTTTCCCTTGGACTCTGCTTTTCTATCTACCTGGTTAGTGGATGAGAAAGCTGGGTCTGCCTCAGGGCCCTCTGCTGCAGCTTCTGAGGCTTGGGGGGAGTCTGATATGGGCCCTTCCTCTCCTTTTGCAGGGAGAGGGGTTTTCGTATCCCCCATTTTTGTATGAGTATGATTTAAGTATGGCTTTCCCAACAGCTTATTTCTGCATGGCTTTGGGCCCTTCTGGTTCATCTTTCCAGAGGTTTCTTTCCTCTCGGGTCCCTCCTGCTGTAGCTTGGGAGGCCATTTTTAAGTACGTATCTCATGTGACACTTGGATTATGACTCGCTGATGGACCCTTCCACTATTTTAATTTGGGTCTACTTCCCGGCTTTGGATGTACTAGTATTCTAAGCTTCTGGAGTCTTCCTGGCTGGCGTACACTCCCTTAGTTTCACATTTGACATACCCACACACTGGAGTGGCATGAGGTGTCGAGCTTTTGACCATGTCTTTTCGTTTCTATCTTTGGCTCGGTTTACGGCGTCCCCTTCGGTCTGTGATTGTTTTCTTAAATGGTTTGTTTGATGTTTCTTACTTCTGGGTATAGGGTGTGAGACCTTCATGTTCTCCTCCAAAGGTGGGAGTTTTGTTTATATTGCCCAATAGTGTTTATATTGCAGAGGGTTTGTTTGCATCCGGCTCCTCCTTTTCTGGGGAAGAATGAGTTGGTTGGCTTCCAGGGGGCCATTGGTTATTGATGCGTAGTTGGTTTGGCTGGGGTACACCATGTGTTGTGTCCGGTGGCAGCTCTTTGCTGCTACCTTCGTACTATGGATTCTGCCTTAGTGGATGCCTTGTGGTTTGATCCTGTCACCTTCGCCTCCTGTTCCGAGGATTGTCTTTCTCGGGTTGTCTGCAATGTTACAAAGTTTAGCTAGCCTGCAGTCTTCTCTCATGCCAATGATGTTAGAAAGTATGCTGCTTTCTCTCGGCTGTGTTTGCATACATGTCTTGGGCTGATATTTGGGCTCAGGTGTTTTGGAAGGTGAACAGTGTTCTGGGGTTTCATATTTTGTTAATGTGCCCAGGCCCTAATGACCTTGTGTGCCCATGGATCGTATCTCTTGTCCAGGTGTCTTTTCTTTATCCTGATTTCTGTTGTGCTACCCCCAGAAGGGGGGGGGAGGGGATTCTTTTGGCGGCTATTGAGGCTGGAGTCTTTTTTTCAAGCCAGCAGTTGTCTGTTTTGTCTTGCTGAGTTTCTGGTTGCTTCCCCAGTTAATGACATAAATAAATAAATGTCACTGTTCCCAGCACCTCTGTGAGGGGGATCAGGTTCTGGCTGTGGTTTTGGTAAGGCGATAGAGCTCCGTGGCTGATGTGACCTAGTATTGGCATGCTATCAGTGATAGTAGCTTCAGGAAGCCATTGGGGCTCATCCAGAAATTGGCATTTCATTACATTCAGTGCTGGATTTTTAGTGAGCCAGTTTCCCATGAGATACAAGGTAAATGCATTAACAAAAGAAATATATACTCATGCAAATACTGTGTGTATTTTTTAACACTTTCGCGCTCTCCGCAAAGGTCACTCAGCCAACCGAATGTGCGCGCTGCGTTTTTATCGCTTAAGCGTAAAAACAAAAATGTGTATACTCTTTTTACTCTTCTGACCTTAGTTCTCATGCTACGTATTTCATTTTGGTACCAACGTGTTCGCAATAAAATTCTCTAGAAGAACATTAGTAAAATAAGTCACGAAACATATAGGGATACCAGCACCAAATAAATAACTACGTAGATGACTCGCCGTGAGCGCCCATCAGCAACAAAATGTTTTTACTCTTGGGATTGTAATCACCTCCACACTTGTTCTACAGCGTTAATTTTGGTATCAATGGACTCGCAATGAAATTCCCAACACGGTGATATGAATATAAGCGTAGAATAATGATGCAGCCCGCTTGCAAGAGTGTGGGAAGTGGTGAAATTGTTACCCGGTATCGGTGACGGGACGATGCACGGCGCTTTGAAAGTTTATACTTATTTCACTCTCATGACATTAATTTTCTATGTACGTCATTCATTTTTATGTCAATGTGTTCGCAATAGAATGTTCTATGTGCCCATAGGTAAAAAATATCAACAAAGCGTAAGTTAGAATAGCGACAAATATAAAACAACGCTGGAACATATCAGTGAGCGTCAAACACACACGAAATATTTTTACTTTTGTTATGTTTGTCAAGATTATATTTGTTGCACACAGTTATTTTTGGTTGTATATTGATCGGAATAAAATTCCCTAAACAGACATATGCATATAATACATGATATGGGGGAAGAATTACCAGTATAAACGGCTAAAGTCACCCACCTGCAACCCGTTTGGGACAAAATACCATTTGATCGAAGTTATCCACACCTTTCATGAACTTATTGTACCATGCAGCCTAGTGGTGAGAAAGAGAGCCTCATAGCGCGCAGTTTGAAACAAACCCAAAGTAAATCGGATAAAAATTGAATTTTATACAAATATTTTAAAAGTAGACATAACTTTATGTCCACTATGCGTTTACGTTAGACGAAACCGAACGCGCTGGCGCGTCCAGATAGCGCGAAAGTGTTAATATAGTCTCGCATTTTTTGCAACTTCAAAATTTTGAATAGGCTTTGAAGTGATTCTTATGAATTTTACATTGTATATGCTCTGTAGATAAAGTAACTCATTTCTAATATGAAGTACAATTTATTGAGTTATACATTTCTAAACTTGTAAATTAATACAAAATTATGGGTTGAATTAAAAAAAATTCCTAAGCTAAAATCAATTTCATAAAATTACAGTAATTAGTATCGTTGAAGATTACATTCTTATAAGCTTTATTGTCAAAACATTTAAAGTTTGTCAAAAAGTTTTTCACATTACAGGTATGATTTAAAAAAAAAAAAGTTTTTAAATATATTTCCAAATTATGTTACAGAAACTTTGCCAGCCATCTTAGAATATTGTACACACACTTACAGAAAATGTTTGGAAAATATTGACAGTGTTTGAATTTTCTTTTCACCTATTAAAGCTGGAATGGCCCTTTTGGTGTGCTGGTAAGCCTTGTAGTGCTCTGGTTGACTCTAGGGTTGTGCTTCCCTCCCCTCCTTCCAAATTCTTAACCTTTAGCCGTTGGTTCTTGGTCCGTGTGCCCGTTGGTTCATGGTCCGTGTGCCCGTTGGTTCTTGGTCCGTGTGCCCGTTGGTTCTTAGTCCGTGTGCCCGTTGGTTCTTGGTCCGTGTGCCCGTTGGTTCTTGGTCCGTGTACCCGTTGGTTCTTGGTCCGTGTGCCCGTTGGTTCTTGGTCTGTGTGCCCGTTGGTTCTTGGTCCGTGTGCCCGTTGGTTCTTGGTCCGTGTGCCCGTTGGTTCTTGGTCCGTGTGCCCGTTGGTTCTTGGTCTGTGTGCCCGTTGGTTTTTGGTCCGTGTGCCTGTTGGTTCTTGGTCCGTGTGCCCGTTGGTTCTTGGTCCGTGTGCCCGTTGGTTCATGGTCCGTGTGCCCGTTGGTTCTTGGTCCGTGTGCCCGTTGGTTCTTGATCCGTGTGCTTGTTGGTTCATGGTCCGTGTGCCCGTTGGTTCTTGGTTCGTGTGCCCGTTGGACTACCCTCTGCTGCTGTCTTCTTCTATTCTCCCAGGGTAATCCTCTAGGGGTCTTTTTGCATGTTCATGAGTGAGGTGCCATTTGGTGTCAGTTGTGCACATTATTACTAGTCTATTTACCTCTGTGCCAATGATAGTTGCCTTGCCTTCCTCAGTATTCCTAATTAGCGTTCAACCAGTCATTTGTTTTGCTGCACCTGTCCTTTTTTAGTAGGGTTTTCTTGGTTGAGTTTAATGCTGGTAGGTAAGCACCTCCCCTCTTGTATAAAGAGGCCAATTCTTGTCCTTGCTCCTGTAGGCACATGAGGCTCTTGGAGGCTTGGTATATATTCCTAAGGCTTGGCAGTACCAAAGCTTAATCTCTGGGAGTTACTGAGGGCCCCTCCCCCCAAAATGGCATTTTGTTACATTCATTGCTTAAGGTGTATATTCTGAAAACGTGCCTTCTCTTTAAAGATCTGGGATGCCGCGATCAGAGCAGATGGGATTATTGCAACGTAGTCTGCATACTTCCGCCTCTCAGTTCAACCAGCAAGGTTCAGGTGGGGCAAGTGGTGGAAGAGGAGAGCCACCTCAGAGCAGTTCTGGCGATGATAATAAAAATAACGATAATGACGAAAGGAAGGGTATGCTAGCGAAGGCAGCACTCTGGATGTTAACGGCGTATATGTTCATTGCCATAATTTCTCTCCTCTTCCCTAGCAGCAACCAGCCAGAGGTCAGTCATGACATCTTTTTGTTCAGACTAAAGTGTTGTTTGATAAACTAAATGTTCTATGAGAATTAATCTGAAAATTACTCATAATATTGTCTTATTGTTCATGATATTCCTGTTTAATTACTTGAATGAAAATATCAATAACTATAAAAATATTAGTGTGTGGTATACAAAGCTGATGTGTGCTCTCTGGTTCTATTTCAGATGGCACGTTATGTCTCTTGGAATGAGTTCGTACATCACATGCTTAGCAAGGGGGAAGTTGAGGAAGTGATTGTTCGACCAGATTTGGACATTGTAACAATTATTCTTCAAGAAGGGGCAGTCATCAAGGGCAAGAAGGTGAGTTATGTACTACCATTGTTGGTGGAGTCATCAAGGGCAAGAAGGTGAGTTATGTACTACCATTGTTGGTGGAGTCATCAAGGGCAAGAAGGTGAGTTATGTACTACCATTGTTGGTGGAGTCATCAAGGGCAAGAAGGTGAGTTATGTACTACCATTGTTGGTGGAGTCATCAAGGGCAAGAAGGTGAGTTATGTACTACCATTGTTGGTGGAGTCATCAAGGGCAAGAAGGTGAGTTACATGCTACCATTGTTGGTGGAGTCATCAAGGGCAAGAAGGTGAGTTACATGCTACCATTGTTGGTGGAGTCATCAAGGGCAAGAAGGTGAGTTACATGCTACCATTGTTGGTGGAGTCATCAAGGGCAAGAAGGTGAGTTATGTACTACCATTGTTGGTGGAGTCATCAAGGGCAAGAAGGTGAGTTACATGCCACCATTGTTGGTGGAGTCATCAAGGGCAAGAAGGTGAGTTATGTACTACCATTGTTGGTGGAGTCATCAAGGGCAAGAAGGTGAGTTACATGCTACCATTGTTGGTGGAGTCATCAAGGGCAAGAAGGTGAGTTATGTACTACCATTGTTGGTGGAGTCATCAAGGGCAAGAAGGTGAGTTACATGCTACCATTGTTGGTGGAGTCATCAAGGGCAAGAAGGTGAGTTACATGCTACCATTGTTGGTGGAGTCATCAAGGGCAAGAAGGTGAGTTACATGCCACCATTGTTGGTGGAGTCATCAAGGGCAAGAAGGTGAGTTATGTACTACCATTGTTGGTGGAGTCATCAAGGGCAAGAAGGTGAGTTACATGCTACCATTGTTGGTGGAGTCATCAAGGGCAAGAAGGTGAGTTACATGCTACCATTGTTGGTGGAGTCATCAAGGGCAAGAAGGTGAGTTACATGCTACCATTGTTGGTGGAGTCATCAAGGGCAAGAAGGTGAGTTATGTACTACCATTGTTGGTGGAGTCATCAAGGGCAAGAAGGTGAGTTACATGCTACCATTGTTGGTGGAGTCATCAAGGGCAAGAAGGTGAGTTACATGCTACCATTGTTGGTGGAGTCATCAAGGGCAAGAAGGTGAGTTACATGCTACCATTGTTGGTGGAGTAGTGGGATACATTAGTGAGGTTCTTCTCTGGTCCATGGTGTATATGCTGTCAAGTGTATTTCTTAAATGTTCAGTAACTTTTCTGTTAAACATTTACCAAAGGTGTATGATAAATCATATTGATGTTTAAATGTATGGTATCAGACATTTGACAAATGTCAACAAAGCTACTATAATGTATAACTAGTAAAATATACCGGTAATCTTTAACATACCCATCTCTAATGTGACAATAAAAAGAAGTTAGAAGTTTCCATCGAATGGTTTTAAGGACATCTTTAATGTACCTCATTGGTTGAGTTTTGCTAAACTGCTTGTCAACTCTTCTCAAGGGGGTGACAAAGCCTACAGGAAGCAAGGCATTACAGATGTGTGTATATATTTTTAGTGTAGCCTTTCAATATATATAGTTACTGTACCGTACTTTGATAAATATTTTTTTATTTTATTTTTAATACAGATGGAACAGCGAACATTTCACATGAACATAGTTGATCTACAACACTTTGAAGAGCGATTACGTGAAGCAGAATCTAGAGCAGGCATTCGCCCAGATCAAGGAATACCGGTTGTGTATGAAAGGAGCGGAGACACGGCAGGTAGACTTCTGGCGTCGATTATCGTCGTGGCTATTATAGTCTCACTTCTCTCAAGAAATATGAACATCAAAGGACCACTTAGCATTGAAGGAATAGTGAGTGGATGTATTTTGAGTATATAATCATCCAGTATAACTAGCAGCATATTCAATAACTGAGAGCATGTCCAGTACCCTGTAATGTATCTAGTAGTATGGTACAAATGTGTCAAATGAAATATACCAACTTCACAGCAATACTGTATATCACTTAACACTTGGCCTGGCCCCTAATATGACAGTACATATAAAAATCATTTAATTTTGTAAAGTTTAGAGAAGGCTTCAACTGTGATAGTATGGGTCCACCCATTCTATCAGTGTCTGCAAGATGACTTAACACAGCCTACTCACAAGAAAAGATTGCCTCGTTATATATGGCCTGTAATAACTAGGTAGGTTAACAAAAAGAAACATCTTGAATGACATGCACACATGTAATTAACACTATCATCAACATAAACGTAAATTAACTTGAGCCTACATACACTTTGAACATGATACAGGTTCTATCTTAACCATCCCTAGTTAGGCTTCAGTGGAAGCCTGGGGATCCTCATGGGGGCAGTAGCACTCCAGGTTGCAATTCTTTTACCATGTTGTGGTACAGTTGACAAGAGCGCGTCTGGGAACACTTAGCGCATAGGTTCGAACCCTTGTCTTGGTTCCTCAGGCTCCGGTGGATTTATTCTATGCATAATTATCATAAATGGAAATAATGATTTCTCACACTCGGTAAATTTCTAAATGGTGCACACTGCCAGCACAGATTACTAATAACTTTACTGGTTAATTTATATCCTGTTTCTAAACCATTTCTAGCAACATAACTGTCCTGGAGAAGTTTGAAAATGTGGGCCATGACTAGGAACATTTAAAGGGATTACTAATCCAGACTCTAGCTTCAACCGATCTCCTGTTTACATAGTAGTGTTTGTAAGCACCATAGTACAAAGGTTGATGTACTAAGCAATTAGATAATACAATTTTGTACTATTCACTTTATAGAGTTAAAAAAAAATTAAGCTAAGAAACAAACATAAATATTCCTAGGCCTAGTACAGTACACATATGTACTATATTAGGCCTCAGACATTGTGTATTAGGCCTAGGAAGGTTAGGTTAGGTTAGTTTGTCTTTACAATATAAATAGAAAATCTTTTCCTGTTTGTTCAAATTCAATAGTACCGATTTCTACTTTCTAATTGCGTTATATGTCAGTATGTGTGCCGTGGTCCTCATTATTATAAGTACTACCAAAACAGGAGGAACGGGTGGCTAGACACCCAACAGGGGCCCACACTAGCCAGCCTAGCCAATGTGCTGACAACCCAACACATCACACAAATAAAACAAAAGACGCCCAATGCCAACCCAAAGTGGATAGGCCACCAGACTTTCTCTCTGTTCATGCTCATCCTCTCGTGCTCCACCTCTCATGCTCCACCCCTTATGCTCCACCCTTCATGCTCCACCCTTCATGCTCCACCCTTCATGCTCCACCCTTCATGCTCCACCCTTCATGCTCCACCCTTCATGCTCCACCTCTCGTGCTTCACCTCTCATAATTACCTAAGTGTAGTTACAGGATGAGAGCTACGCTCGTGGTGTCCCGTCTTCCCAGCACTCTGTCATATAACACTTTGAAACTACTGACGGTCTTGGCCTCCACCACCTCACCTAACTTGTTCCAACCATCTACCACTCTGTTTGTGAAAGTGAATTTTCTTATATTTCTTCGGCATCTTTGTTTAGTTAGTTTAGATCTATAACCTTTTGTTCTTGAAGTTCCAGGTCTCAGGAAGTCTTCCTTATCAATTTTATCAATTCCTGTTACTATTTTTGTACGTAGTGATCATATCACCTTTTTTTCTTCTGTCTTCTAGTTTTGGCATATTTCAGATCAGATTCAGATTCAGATGTTTATTCAGGTAAGGTATATACATACAAGTGATGTTACATTAATGGATTGATATATAGATAGAGCTAGTACATACAATGCCTAAAGCCACTATTACGCAATGCGTTTCGGGCAAGAAAAACATTAATATCTAGAACTTAATACTAATTGAGCATAAAGAATAAAAAGTGTTGAGAACAAATACAAATAAAGATAAAAAAAAAGGGGGAACATGACTGAAAAAGCAGCACAAATACAATAGGTTGACAAACAGTGTTGATTAAAAAAAAAAGAAAATAACAGACATGGGTTGACAATAGAGGAGTGAGGTAGGTTACAGGGAATTTATTAGGTAGTGTTTAGTTTTTATCTTAAACTGGTTGAGAGAGGTACAGTCTTTAACATGGTTGGGAAGGTCATTCCACATTCTGGGTCCCTTGATTTGTAGAGCATTTCTGGTTTGATTAAGTCGTACTCTAGGAATATCAAAACTGTATTTATTTCTGGTGTGGTGCTCATGGGTTCTGTTACAACCTTCTATGAAGCTTTTGAGATCAGGATTAGCATTACAATTTAGCGTTTTGTATATGTATAGTACACATGAGAGAATGTGCAGTGACTTAATGTCTAACATATTCAGGGATTTGAATAGGGGTACCGAGTGATGTCTGGGGCCAGAATTGGATATTGTCCTAATAGCAGCTTTGTGTTGAGTAATTAGAGGACGTAAATGATTTTGGGTAGTAGAGCCCCAAGCACAAATACCATAGTTGAGATATGGATAGATAAGGGAGTAATAGAGAGTCACCAGGGCAGGGCGTGGTACATAATATCTGATCTTAGAAAGAATGCCCACAGTTTTTGAAACTTTTTTAGATATGTTTAGAATGTGTCCCTGGAAATTCAGCTTGTGGTCAATGAGAATGCCAAGGAATTTGCCATCTAATTTGTTACAAATTTGGGTATTGTTTATTTTGAGATTTATTTGATTAGAGGATTTATTGCCAAACAGAATATAGAAAGTTTTGTCAATGTTAAGGGTGAGTTTGTTGGCAGTTAGCCACAGATGGACTTTATTTAGCTCAGTATTTACTGTGGCATTTAGAGCAAGGGGATCAGGACTGGAGTAAATGAAGGTTGTGTCGTCAGCAAATAGGATTGGTTTGAGGTGTTGGGAGGCATTTGGAAGGTCATTAATGTAGATGAGAAAGAGGAGAGGGCCAAGTATGCTGCCCTGGGGAACACCAATGTTGATGGGTAGGGTGGGAGAAATTGTATTATTCACAGAAACACATTGGAGCCTGTCAGTAAGGTAGGATTTGAGGTATTGTAGGGAGTGTCCTCTGACACCATAATGATGTAATTTAAGAAGAAGGTTTTGGTGGTTGACAGTATCGAAAGCTTTACGCAGGTCCACAAATAACCCAACAGGGAACTCATTTTTATCAAGAGCTGTATGAATCGAGTTAAGCATACTAATAAGTGCATCGTTAGTGCTTTTTTTGGGCCTGAAGCCATATTGGCAAGGGCTAAGTATATTGAGTTTGGCTAGATATGAGTAAAGCTGCTTATAGATTAGTTTTTCAAAAAATTTGACAAGTTTGGCAGGATTGATATAGGTCTGTAGTTGTTAACATCTGTGAGATCACCACATTTGTGGACAGGCGTTACTCTCGCTTTTTTTAGAATATCTGGAAAGGTTTGGAGTTCAAGTGACTTGTTGAAGAGCAAAGCAATAGCAGGGGCTAAAGATCTGGAGGCTTTTTTGTAGATTAAAGTTGGTATCTCCTCAAGGGCACCAGACTTGGTTTTAAGGGAAAGGATTATCTCATTGACGTCAATGGAATTAATAGGCTTTAGGTACAGAGACTGGGGATAGTTCCCTGTCAGATAGTCCTTAATGTCAGTACTGGAAGATGGAATATCATTAGCAAGGGATGAACCAATGGAAGAGAAGAACCTATTGAACTCAATAGCAGAATCAGAGGCTGAAAGCTGACCATCGTTATTAGACAGGAGAGTCGGTTTGTTATTTAAAGACTTTGATCCCAATATTTGTGAAATTGTTCTCCATGTTTGTTTAATGTTGCTCTTTATTTGGGTAAATTTATCTTCGTAGTACTTAGATTTGGCTCGTCTAATTATCTTAGATAGCAATAATGAGTAATTCTTTGAGAATTCTTTGGAGACAATCCCTAACCTATACTTTTTCTCAAGGTCATGTTTTTTATTAATAGATTTAAGTATTCCCTTTGTAAGCCAGGGATTGTTAAGCCTTTTGGTTGTGACTTGTTTTGTAAGCATAGGACAGTGGGTATTATAAAGGCTAAGAGTTGTTAGTAGAAAAGATTGCACTGCTTGGTTGATGTCCCCTATGTTACCTAACTCGGACTCCCAGTTGACATTATCAGCAGCAGTTATAAAATTGTTTATAGCAGTTTCATTGTGCAGCCTAAAGCTTAACTCCCTTGTTTCTAGAGGTGGTTTGCTAATGTTAGTTAAGAGAAATGTGGGGTAATGGTCTGTAGTGCTATCGGTGATTATACCTGAAGTAAGCGGAGAGGTTATATTTGTCCAGATGTGATCTAGAGTCGTGGCAGTGCTATCAGTGATTCTAGTAGGTCTAGTGATTAAGGGTATGAGGAAGCAGGAATTCATACAGTTGAGGAAGCTAACAGCAGTAGGGTGTTCTGGCTCGCAGAGGTCAATATTAAAGTCCCCTGCGATAATTAGGTGGTTTTTGTTCAGTCTGTTATCAAGTATTAGATTTCTAAGGTTTGAGTTGAATTCGGACACATCAGTGTTAGGAATTCTATAAACTGCACCCACAGACAGGATAGACTCGGCACCCTTGACTCTGAAGCTGGCGAAGATATACTCCCCATAGCAGTCTCTAGTTCTAATTTCTTTTAAGCATGTTAGTTCTTGGTGGTAGTAAAGAGCAGTGCCACCACCTCTCTGAAGTTGACGACAGTTGTGGATTGCTGAGTAGTTAGGCATGTTAAAGAGTTGAGTAGTATCATCTTTCAACCATGTTTCAGTAAGTATAATAAAAGAGAAATTGTTGTCAATAGCTTCAATCAAGGCACTAACATCATCGAAGTGTTTGCCTAGGGATCTAACGTTCAAATTGATTACAGAGATATTGTGACTATGG